TACGTGAGATTTTCATCTCATACGGCTCCTCCTTTATGTGCATAATGATAAAAATACATAGAATAAAAAAAGATTGCAGTATTCTCATTATGAACTGAGCAGGGCTAGTGTTTTTACAATAAATCTCTAGCCAACCTTCCTGTAAAAGATCTTTTCTTAACATCAAGTATGTTGGTACTGGATAAAAAAGATGGTAACTCCAACAATTTCTTTGTCCTCAACGCCGCTTAATTTCCTGGAATTAGTCACTTCAACAGTCTTCGATGGTTATACGGGTATCCAAAATACGAACGAGATGGATGTTTGTTGTCCCAACCATTCTTCTTAGTCCCGATCCCGATAAGGAAGGGGGGGGGGATATTCTTTTTTTAACAAAGTTTTCGTGTTGTTGATTCCTAAACGTAGTGCTTCTTCCCCCATGCCGCCCATTGGTACTAGTGGAGTAGAGTTGACCTAACCCATACGTATAGGTATAACCTTTCGCTTAATACTATAAATCCAAAATTCAAGCATATGAGGCTGCATTAATCGGGGATACACGACAGAAGGAATTAATTATTTTATTTCCACAAACTTCACCTTCAGCAAGCGTAGGTTTTTTTCCATTTTTTCTTTCTATCCGAAGAATGTGTCTTTCTCCTAAGACTGAGAGCAAAAAAAAAGGAAAAAAGAATCAAATCGCACCATCTCTGTAATAGGTGAATGCCTCCTTTTCTCCTGAAGTTGTCGGAATTATTCGTAATAAGATATTGGCTACAATTGAAAAGGTCTTATCAATAAAATTTCCATTTATCCGAGATCTAGGCATAGGTAGCAATCCATTCTAGAATTTAATTATCTCTCGTGAGAAAATAATCCCACAAACAAAGGAATTGTACAATACAGTACGAAATAACGTAAAAAGGACTCATTAAAAAAAATTGTTTATGAAGGTTTTTTTTAAGTTTTTCTATTTTTCTAGTTCAATTTGATTGTATGTGGCTATCCAAAAAAATAGAATATGAATGACTCACTATTCACTCGGTTTCTGGGACATAATCATTATGTAGGAGAGATGGCCGAGTGGTTCAAGGCGTAGCATTGGAACTGCTATGTAGGCTTTTTGTTTACCGAGGGTTCGAATCCCTCTCTTTCCGGACGCATCTTTACCTAATTCATCAATATTATTGACCGCAATGTTTCAAATAACAAAAGGTATCATTATTCCAACTTTCTTTGATGTGGATTCTCTATTCCTAATCTCTGGAATACTGAAAATACTGGAAAGAGGGGGCAAGGAAAAGGAATGAAAATCTTCCTACCCGATCTATGTCTATGATAGATGAATGGGAGGGAAAATCCCCGGATCAAACACCTTACCCCTTTTTTTTGTTGGTCCCCTTACTTAGACGCGAAGGGAGTAAAAATCGCTTGTTATTTTAGTTAGGTTTAAGTCTGACGAGAATAATATTCTACAACCAGCAATTCATTTATTTTCAAACCAACCCATTTACTATCTATTATTTGATTGACTAATCCTTTATATTGGAATGGGTGAAGAGTCAAATGTTTTGGCAATTCCTCACGGGGGGATGAATCAAGATAATTTTGAATCAGAGTTCTAGACTTTTGTTCATCCCTCGCTGTAATAATATCTTGGGGTTTGCAGCGATAACTTGGTATATCTACTATATGACCATTAACTAAAACATGTCTATGGTTAACTAATTGGCGAGCTTGAGGAATAGTCGAAGCCATACCCAATCGGAAAAGTATGTTATCCAAACGCATTTCGAGTAATTGTAGTAAAACCTGACCGGTTGACCCTTTCGCTTTTCTGGCGATACCAACGTATTTAAGCAATTGTCGTTCTGTAAGACCATAATGAAAACGCAATTTTTGTTTTTCTTCTAAACGAATACGATATTGAGATTTTTTACCCAAGCGCGCTTGGTTTCTAAGTTCGCTTCCGACTATAGGCCTTTTGCTAGTTAGTCCTGGTAAAGCCCCCAGACGGCGTATTTTTTTGAAACGAGGCCCTCTGTAACGCGACATAAAGACTCCTTTTTAAAATTTCATAAACCTAAATTCAAACTAAACTAAATGAGAAATATGATAAATGAAGCGAAATCGACTAAAGTATTGTACTACAAAGAAGAATTGAATTAGATGAATTATATCAATATCCGAACCTTATTGTATATATAAAATTGTATATATAAACCAAAAAAAGGAGGTTCTTTTCTTGATTTGTTCTACAGAAATCGAACTCCCCCAATTGGAATTCATAATTGGAAGTTCCTACGACATAATCGATCGGTGACTCTTGAAAAAAGAAAGGGGAAAAAGCCTTTTCAATATTCTTTGATTTCAAAAAGACATTCTTAATTATATAAAAAATCAAAACAAATAGAGAAAAGCCGGCTATCGGAATCGAACCGATGACCATCGCATTACAAATGCGACGCTCTAACCTCTGAGCTAAGCGGGCTCACATAACAGAAATTGTGCATGCATAGGAATTTAATAAACTACTGAGATCTTAGTTATTAACTCTTTATTCTTAGCTATTTTATTCTTAGCTATTGATAACATAATTCCTATGAATTGAATATAGAAGAGAATATTGATAACATAATGAATATGAATATAACATAATTCCTATGAATATACAAAAGAATATAGAATTTCAAATAAATATTCCATTTTTTTTATATTCTAGGACATAAAGAACATAACAATTTGAAGATAAGGATTAATAGAATATATTTCAATCTATTTAGTAAATATATTATGTTTTTCAACAATCAATTATATGTTTATTAATGATCAATATCTTTATCTTAATATCTTTATCTTAATTAGTATAGAGTCTTAATTAGTATAGAGTATAGTAAGATTTTCTTTTTTCATTTTTGAATTTGAATTCAAATTTTGTTATTTTAATTAATAATAATTAATAATTAGTTTATAAGTTTATAGTTTAAAAGTTTAATTAATATTTAAATATTTAATTATATTAATCTCATATTTAATTGAAATTAATTTCATATTTAATTTAATTAGAATTTCTATAATTAATATCAAATTTAAAATTCTAAATCTAAATATAGATATAGTTAAAATATATATAGAATATATATATAGTAATAATAGTAATAAATAATATGAATCTAAAATTAGCAAATGAATATATTTAAATATATTGAATATTCTTTTAATTAATATAAATATATAAATAAATAATAATAATATAGAATAGAAATAACTCGAATTCTTTTCTAAATTAATTTGAAATTATGAAATTAATAGAATGATTATTTATAGCCATTACATTAGGTCTAGCTATTCTAACTAGCTATTCTAAATTAATAAATAGAAATAGATTTCTTTTTTATTTAATCTAAAAAAATAAGAGATTTCCATCCATTTTAGTTATCTTTAGTTATGTTATATAGGACCTATCCGTTCTAAGAAAAAAAGATAAGAATAAAAACAAATGAAAGAAAGGGAAAGGCCCAATTCCGATCATAATGAAACATTCCTTCGGAAAGGTTAAAACTAAGACGAAAAAAAAGAATCGACCGTTCGAGTATTCCAAATTGCATGAGAAAAACGCTAGAAGGAGAGGCATCTAAAATATATATATGTGGTATATATCCATGTATATTGAATTGCGAATACAGAAATGATAGAATTATTTCTGATTGGACAAAATATGGGTATCTGAAATACAAATAGAAAGAAACATTTTTCGGTATAGGAATCGGTATCTAACGAATTCAACAGTTCCGGCATAATTCTCATAATTTAAATGAAAAGAAAAAACATCCTAATGAGATTCTAATCTCAAAGAAAAAAGGGGGGGGATATGGCGAAATTGGTAGACGCTACGGACTTAATTGGATTGAGCCTTGGTATGGAAACCTACCAAGTGATAACTTTCAAATTCAGAGAAACCCTGGAATTAACAATGGGCAATCCTGAGCCAAATCCTGTTTTCGGAAAACCAAGAAGAGTTCAGAAAGGGAGAATAAAAAAAGGATAGGTGCAGAGACTCAACGGAAGCTGTTCTAACAAATGGAGTTGACGACATTTCGTTTCGTTAGTAAAGATTTCGTTTGGTTAGTAAAGAGATCCTTCCATCGAAACTCCAGAAAAGAAAGGATCAAGGATGAGCATACGTATACGTACTGAAATACTATTTCAATTGATTAGACCAGACAGACCCAAAATCTCTATTTTTTAATATTTATATGACAAATAAAAGATGTGAATCGATTCCAAGTTGAAGAAAGAATCGAATATGAATTGATCAAATCATTCACTCCATGATAGTCTGATAGATCTTTTGAAGAATAGATTAATCAGACGAGAATAAAGATAGAGTCCCATTCTACATGTCAATACCGACAACAATGAAATTTATAGTAAGAGGAAAATCCGTCGACTTTAGAAATCGTGAGGGTTCAAGTCCCTCTATCCCCAAAAGGCCCGTTTAACTCTCTAATTATTTATCCTATATCCTCTTTTTTTTTTAGTGGTTCCAAATTCGTTATGTTTCTTATTCATTCTATTCTTTCACAAACGGATCTGAGTGGAATTTTGCTTTTTCTTATCACAAGTGTTGGAATATGTAATGGAATATATATGATAGACGTAAAATTTGGTTTCTATATGATAAACGTACAAATGAGCATCTTATCTTTGAGCAAGGAATCCTCATTTGACTGATTAACAATACATATCATTACTCCGACTGAAACATACAAAGTCTTATTTTGGAAGATCCAAGAAATTACAGGGCTTGGATCAAACTATTTTTTTTTTCGTCTTTTTTTTTTAGTTGACATATACTCAAGTAATCTCTTAAAATGAGGATGATGCGTCACGAATGGTCGGGATAGCTCAGCTGGTAGAGCAGAGGACTGAAAATCCTCGTGTCACCAGTTCAAATCTGGTTCCTGGCACATGATTAATTTGTATGAGTATCTATTAAATTCATTAAAATGAATATGGGTCAACATACATATTTCTTAGTAGTCTAGATCATCATACATTTTTATCCATCTAGGTGTCTGGAGATATACTCTTTCTAGATGAATAAAGAATATATGTACGTTCTATGTATATAGAAAGTATGTAAAAAAATAAATTATTCCATTTTTTTCTTTTTTTTTTTTCTCGACTCACAAATGTTAATACTTCTTCAATAATATTCGAGTTGGTTGAAAAACCAAAAAGTCTAGTCTAGGGAAATTGAGGGGTAGAACTAGCCAAAAGAAATCTCAGATACATTACAAATAGAATCCGACCCCTTCTTTCATTTCATTTCTTTGTATTTTCTTTCATATTTTATTCATTTCCTTCGATGTTGATGTGCGCGAGACATAGTTCATGATGCAGAACTTTTTTAGTTCATCCTATTGGCTCGGCTCATCCGAAATAAGTATCTTAACAACTTTAAAATCTCAATGAAGCCCTACTCGAATTTTTTTTTTAATCCCTAGATTTTTTATTTAACCCATCCATAATAATATGAATAAGACCTCAATTATTCTGTCTGATTTAACTTCAATTACTTTGTCTGATCTATAAAAGAACGTACAGCTATTCAAGGAATATCT